AACTTTTACGAGTATGAGTACACACACATTTTACAGTATCGGCACCGATACCCGATACCAGTATCGGTGCATCCCTAATTTGAATAAAATGCAGTGAATGACATATGACACCAATGCATTAAATCTATGAAGAGAGCACTATGGTTGTAATGATGCAGTAAAATAATGTAATCTGTGTATATATGTATCTTTACTTTACAGAGTGCCATCAGTTGCTCTGAACTCATCTTTAATGTTGTAATGTTGACTTCAGGATTTGAGACATCTCCACAAAGCCAATGAAGATCCAGTATGTAGTGTTTTTAACATGATTAAGTGAACGTTAATTTGCATTTCGCCTCTGCCCAGGCAAAGGACACTGAGATCAGAGGAACTAAATTTGTGGTGGCTGGCCTTAAGGAAGGCGGTCTGTACCGCTTCAGAGTCCGAGCTGTGAATGCTGCTGGAGTAGGAGACCCTGGATTAGTGTCTGAGCTAATCGAGGTCAAAGACAGAACAAGTAAGATCCAGATCCAACTTTAACATCTGGCAAAGCAATAATTTTTGTTAATAACACAAATGTGAAAATTGTCCCCGTCTCGTGCAGTTCCTCCTGAGATGGATCTCGACGCCTCGGTGAAGGAGAAAATCGTAGTCCATGCCGGTGGCACCATCCGCATTATCGCCTACGTGTCCGGCAAACCTGCCCCACAGATCACTTGGTGCCGGGATGACAGCGAGGTGCCCAAAGAGGCCGTGGTGGAGACGACGGGCATCTCTAATTCACTGGTCATTAAGAACTGCAGACGCCAACACCAGGGCATCTATACACTAAGTGCAAAGAACGAGGGCGGAGAGAGGAAGAAGGCGGTCATTGTTGAGGTCCTGGGTGGGTAATCACATTCACCTCAAACAATTTGAACATGCTGATGGATAAAGAGCTGTCCCATCCACTTTCTTAACCGCGTATCCAAGTAGAATATGGAAGCTTTATGTGCAGAGTCACTGAGCACGCATGGCAGAACTACACTCTACTTAAAACAGTCTGACTCTGACTCCGTCCTTATCTCTACAGACGTCCCTGGACCAGTTGGTCTTCCCTTCGCTGGAGAGAACCTGACCAATGACTCCTGCAAGCTGACCTGGTACTTCCCCGAGGATGATGGCGGCTCAGCCATTACCAACTATATTATTGAGAAGAGAGAGGCAGACCGCATGGGTTGGACCTCTGTATCTTACACTGTGACAAGAAACAACGCTGTGGTACAAGGACTCATCGATGGCAAGGGCTACTTCTTCAGGATTGCAGCTGAGAACATCATAGGCATGGGACCTTTCATCGAGACCGACAAGATGGTTCTCATCAAAGATCCCATCTGTAAGTCCCTTATTTAACATTTTAGTTGCAACTTCTTTACAATTTTAAGGGTAATCACCAAACTAGAAAAAACATAATAGGAGTTCTTACTGAATTGTTGACAACTGGCCTCCTCAACACAGCCTCTGATTGGCAGCTACAGGCTGACCTGGGTAAACAACTAAAGCTCCCTCAGAACATTGCAAAAACAGCACGATCT